GCTTCCACATTTACCTATTTTATGACCTTGGGACTTTTACTTATTCTCAGCCAGCTTTAGCATCCTTATCTGTAGAACAGGGCAAAATGTGTCTGTATTGTAGCCTACCATAAGTGCTGATGATGATACACACAAAGTGAGCAAATACTATAGAAAGAGCTTTATGGCCAAGTGGGAAGATCAAGGAATAAAAATCCTCCTTTGATTAAAAATGAATAATTACAATACATGGATTGATGGCCTTTCAGATTTATTATTCCTTCTTAATGTCCAATGGCCAGCAGCAACAAATCAGGAAGTATTTCACACATAGCTATTTTGTTGAACTGTAAAACCTTTTGTCTCCAAATTAAATGATGGCTTCTATCCCTGTTAAGGAAATAAAACCTGATAATTAGTCTTGTAAACAAGAGAATTAAAGGAAGCATAGTTTATCACTTTTCCTCTGCTCAAGTGACATTTTGACATGCTACACCTACCTTCGTTAATTACTGATAAGCGGACTTACCAAGTAACATAGGAAAGAGACAAGAGTTTAGAATTTGAAACCATTCTTGCTTTAAGAGAAGCAGCTCTGTGATCTTCAGCAAATCAATTAATAGTTCCAAACTTCAGTTTCCTTATCTGTAAAAGAAGATAAGATGTACTTACGAAAGATGTTTTGAAAAGATCAGATACATTGTAAGTAATGTGTTTCCTTAGAGGAAGTCCTGGGATTTGAACCCCTGAAAGGCCTGACCAACAAATAAAAAGTCCTGCCACAGCCCCTAGCTCGGGACTTCCACGGGAGCTTTTCCCTGAGTCTTCTACCTTTCATCCTTCTCTTTCCAGTGGCTGGATGAAAACATTTTTCAGGATTTGAATCATTTCCTTTTTTCACACTGAAATTACGGCCCACATGAGGTTTTACTGCTTGAAACAGAAGATCCTGTGCATCCAAATAATGACCAGATGTAGTCATATCTGGCACAATGACTCAGCTTCAGCTGTCGCCTGCCAGTTGGCAGCTTGAGCTGAAGTTGCTGGATTCAGCTATGTCAGGACAAATAACCTTACCTGTGAGTCCTCCAGAAAGAGTGATGGGTATCCAAAAAGTCCCATCTTGAGGTAGTTTGTGCTTTTTAGAAGCCTGCCTTTCTGCCTTTGAACTTCTGCCCATTCTTGCAGGTCTTTCTGCTGGACATCATATCCCAAATTTGCCACTCAGGTTTCTGTTTCTCTGGATGCCTACTGCCTTTCTGGTCAGATGTGTACACTTAGGTGGGCTACATAGCCCATTTTTTTAAGATTTTCACGCTGGAGTCCAGCTGACCAAGCCAGAATCTTACCATGGTGTCCTAGTTTCTCCTTACAAGACTTCACACAGGGCCAGTCACCTGAGAAGCTCAGAAGAAATTTCTGTTCATTCACTGATTGATTCTTGTTAAGACTCAAGATGGGTCTGGTTGTTCTTAATGGAAGCAAGTAAGTGGATGCAGGTCAGACTATCAACAGATTTACTTTTCAGTTATGTTATTTTCATTTACGTTATTTTTTCAGTTATGTTATTTTCACAGTTCTGGAGAAGTTGTAAAATATTTTTTGACAACTCCTTTCCGATTTTTTCCCGAGAATAATGACATTTTTACTCTCAAACTCTAAATAATATGCTGCAGTCTTAATATTTATAGTTCAGGGAAAGACGCATTCAACAATTTCTCTGATATAATGGTTTTTATTCCAAGAATAGCAAAAAAATTTTGAGTTGCAGTTCAGTGTGGGCATACATTTTGCTTAGTGTCTATGTGCCATGTAGTCGGAGTGAAGAGGTAGTATCTTTTATTTCTCACCAAGGGTCAGTAAACTTTTTCTGTAAAGGACCACAGGATAAATATTCTAACCTTTGCAGACCAAAGTATCTGTGTTGCAAAACTATTTAACTTTGCCCTTGTAGCATGAATGCAATTAAAGACAAATTTTAAATTGAGCAAGTATGATTTTTCCCAGTAAAACTTGATTTGCAGATGGGTACAGAGGTATACACCTATAATTCCAGCACTCTGGGAAGCTGAGGCAGGAGGATTACAAGTTTGAACCTAGCCCAGGAAACTTAGGTATAGACTGTCTCAAAATACAGAAAAGGAATGGGGATATAGCCCAGCATTGTAAAGGTCCTGGGTTCATCCCCAGTGCTGAAATGTAAAAACAAAACAGAAACAAAAACAACATAAAACTATTTACAAAAGCTGGGCATGGTGGTGCATGTTTGTAATCTCAGCTACTGAGGAAGCTAAACCGTGAGGATCATGAGCTCACGACCCCATCTCACAAAAACCAAAACAAAACACACATTGTTTATTATAGAAACAGGCAGTGGGTCACATTCGGTCCACACACGTGTCCTTTTTTGCAATTCTCTGCTTTAGTCTTTTGTAAGCACTCATTTCTCTAAGCCTTGAAACTCCTTATTTTGCCCTAAAGGTTTTTTTTTTTCCTGTGCTACTTATTTTTAAGTGCAGTTTATTTTGAGTGCAAGATAATCACCGTTTCCCAAAAGGTTGAAAAATTAATGCAGAAAATGGCTCAGAATGAAGAATGCACATTATGAATGATATATCCACACCCTTTCTTCTAGCAATCCTCCCAAGTCTTCCTTTATTTCTCTGGTGAGTAAAAGAAACCTTCATTACATTACATAAACAACCTATTTTTAACACCTTAGAAATGTTTATTTCTATGAATTTGTTTTCAAGGTTGAAGTAATACATTTTTCTATGTATATTTTAGTTTGAAAAGGAATACCTAAGAGTTTTCCTATTATAATTACTGGAAATCTCTTTTGGTTGAATAATGGTTCACTCATCAGTGGAATGTTCAGGGCTGAATTCCTGCCTGTCAGTGATGGATAGGTACAACTAATTCAGGGCAAGCCCCAAACTGTCTTTTCTTTTGGGGAAGTGGGCAGTCCAAGGCGGGTCCAAGGCGGGTGAAGCTTACTTTAATTAGCAACTCACTCCATGTCAGTCAGGACTGTGAAAGGTATCAGGAGATTTGGAGAAGGAAATAGGGAAGGAGTAGGCCCCTATTCTGTGTGTGGGTGGCTGTCCCCCTCCTGTGTACAGGAAGCTTTATCAAGCTGCTGACATGCATTGTTATGGCAGTGGTCTCACTTCCTCATCTTTCTGTGTCTGGTTTTCCCATGCCGCCTGAGGCCATTCTTTGGTCTGAGTGTCCTTGTTTGTAAAACAGTTAAAAGTGCTTTAGATACTAAGTATTTAGGTTTACCGTGAAGTTAAAATAAAGTGTTACGCTCATGTGGAGTGTCATTATCAGTTGAGAACTGTGACTCCATGGGCACTGTTGTCTTTTTCTGTTTTCTATTATTTCATGATTGATTTATTTATCTATTTATTGGGTTTTTGAGATAGTCTTGCCATGCAATTTGGCTGGCCTTGAACTCACTATTGCAGCCCATTTTGGCCTTAAACTTGCAGCGCTGCTCCTGGCTCAGGCTCTGAGTGCTGGATTACAGGCATGTGCCACCACATCTGGCAGGCACTGGTGTCTGAGGTTTCTAAACTGCTTTTTAAAGAAGCATTTTTATTTCTAGACAGGGTCTTGCTACGTAGTCCAAGCTGGCCTTGAACTCACTATGGAGCCAAGGCTCACCTTGAACTGATGGCAGTCCTTCCTGCCTTAGCTTCCCAAGGACTAGGATTGCAGGTATGCAACTATGCCAGGTTTCTCCCTAACCTGCTTTGTAAGAGCAACTGGCTAGGACTTAATTGGATGATTTCATTGCTCTTACTTCCCTCTTAACTGGGATGTGCTGGAAACTGTTGTTATTGGGGCTGTGGTACTGAATGTGACAAATACGCTCCTTGATGTCGTGGAGCTCACAATCTAAGATGTATCACTGAGTCAAGGCTCAACACCCCTGGGGCAATCCCATGCTAGGGGCCGAGGCATGCTACGATGTGTTACTGAATAGCAGCCACAAAACAGCGCCTGCCAGTGAGCACAGAAGAACTACAGTGTGTTATGATGTCATAATTTAAACAAAGCCTTATGTTTTTTTGACTGGGAAGACATAAAATAAGCAGAAAATAGGATAAAGTATGTTGTGGAAGAATCTAGCAGCACTGGCAGACTCTCATACCATGGGCTTCAGGATGACCACAGCCTGCTAGAAAAGATGTGTGGTCATGTTACACTGAGTTCATCAGCAACTGGGAGCCTTGCTGCGGCTCCCTGAGTCTTGTGCACAAGTTTTGTTCTTCTGCTTTGTCGACACAGCTGAACTGCCCACCTTCCCATGACCTTATGCACTCCAGAAAAATAGGAACATGGAGGGAGCAATTGTGAATTCATGGCATCTACATCATTAAATATGACCTTTACCATTTCAGTAGCCTTGGAGTGTCAGTTGCCCTTCCCCATAGAGAAAGCAGATTTTTATAACTGAAATTGTTATAATCGAAGAAATCAAAGATCCAGTCTTCCTTATGCAACTAAATGCCTTTGAATTCATCTTGGGGAATTTGTTGAAATAACCACTTTATAGAGATGCAAAAACCTACTATCTGGTGGCAGCCTCAGGGGAACCAGAGCACAAACAACACGGGGGCAGTTTTCATCAAAACACGCAGGGAAGAAGACTTTACCATCTCTTTTGTGGTTACTAATAAGCTTAATTCGTATACTTAACTGTCTTTTGTACAATTTTTAGCACCACAAAGAGGAAGTGCTTTTTCTTCCTTAAAAAAGTTCAGTCCAAACCATCAGCCTCTGTAGGTTGTCTTAATTGCTACTTTGCACTGCACCGGACTGTGACTCTGATTTTTGGCACATGCAATCATACACAAAGTTCCTAAAATAAAATGCTCCAGGATATCCTAGGAGCTGTTAGAAGGCTTTAAAAAGGGACTCACACACTGAAAGAATATCTTTGATGAGGACAATTCAGGCACAAGCAACATGATTATTGCAGCAGAATTACATAATTGAGATCTTGAAGTGGGTTGGGCGAGTCCCTGCCACCTAACTTATCATGGTTGCGGGGAGGTTGATGAGAATCCAGTTTTGATAAAGACAATTGTGTTCTCCTCCCCAAGTGACTATACATTTAAATAGCTAAAACATCTGTTCAGCAACATAGTAAAACATGTATACTCGGAACGCTTGAGAGAAGAGCCTGCCAAAGGATCGGTTGAGAGGGACTTTGCTGAGGGAGAGCACCAAGATAAAGCAACCGCTGTTTGTTTTGTCTAGTCAGGGGAAAAGCCAAGACAACCAATATTTTGAATTTCTTTTATTTCATTTGTAAACGATTATTTGAGAAAGGGTGACGAGGGGAGGTTTCCTGACAGGAATTTCTTAAGCTGTCCATTGGTAGAAGAGCAAGAGAGCCTTGGATGTTAATACCTACCAAACTCTTGGGACCAGCTACCAAACCACGAAAAGTGACTTTCTTTCTGAGCGCTCTTTCCAGCCCTTCTGATGGAAGCAGAATCAGGGAGCAGCATGGAGACCAGAAAGGGGACCAACAGAGGCACTCAAATTGCCCTGGCTGTGTTCATCGGTGGCACCTTGGTGCTGGGCACAATCCTCTTTCTAGGTAAGTCGGGCATTGGAGACCAGGGGGACTGGGCATGTGCTAGGATGTTTCCTTGTGTTTTATTCCGGAAAACTGTGTAGTAAGGCAGGTGTGTGTATGGTTGTTTGCTTGTGTTTGTAGGTGGTACATCCTCAGTTTCTGAATATGCAATGACAAACTATGCAAATGACAAAAGCAGCTTTTCTTTACTACCAGATGCATAGTCCAGATGGCAAAGTAGGTATGAAGAAGTTTTGAGTGGCTCCTGGATCCCATTGTACCTGAGTAGAAAAATTTCATGTATTACCTTTCACAAATTGAGTGCTTATGAATTCATAGTGAGAGATTTTATTTGTTTTATGAGGAAAAGCTTTACACGCCGGAATTTCTTTTCGTTTGGCTTTTGTTGATGTTTGCCTGAATGAATCACAAAATTTAATTCATGAAGTACAAATCTGTCCTTTAAAATGCACTTTTGATGGTTTTCTTCAAGTCCTTTCTAATCCAGTGACTCTGATGGGGTTCTATGCTAACTCTGCCTTCCTAATAGATTTAAAATTTAATATGGAGGAAAACAGGAGTTTTTCTCCAAAGACTTGAAAGGTGTTGTGATTCAATTATTATAATGACTCATGGTGAGAATGATGTGCCCAGAGAGTCAATGTGATGATTAAAGTGTATTCCTATGAAAAAGAATCAAGTATCTTGAAGGGCGTGAAGGATGACCTTAAATTTTAAGCTTTTGGAACCCTTGGTTATTAGCCCTTTCCTCATACAAACCATAGTATTTCATTAGTTTGAAAGCTTCTTAGGAGCAAGCCTTTTGCTTAGGAGATTGTAGGTGCACTTTTGAAGCACAGCAGCCCTAGAAAAAAAATCTCTGGCTTATGCAGGATGGAGGAGGCCATGTTTATTTTGGCAGGGACAAACCAAAAATTAAACTTTAAAAGAGTTAGGATTGTGTGGTTGAGAACTCTGCTAAAACGAGCAGACCATCTTTCCATGTTTTCTGTGGCTGAAGATTTAGGAAATTAGATGAGTTTATTACTTTCTGGTGAAGCTAAACCTCCTACTGGTGCAACTGAATTTGTGGCCCTTGAAAGCTGTCGTGATATTTTTTTTTTCAAAGCTTGGGCTTTAGAGATACGTATCTTCCCCGTACTGGAGGAGAAATTCTGTGGGCATACCAAGGGACTCCACATTACCTGGGAAGTGACTACAATGTTAGGTCTTGCAAACACTTGCAGACCTAAAAACCCAAATAATTATCATGCATATGAAAGTATTCACTCTTTTAAATGATGTTACCTCTGCTTGATACTTTTTCCAAATTGCAAGCTTACGATCATTGCATTCCAAGTCATGGCATATTAGCTGAAAGATTCTCCATGGCAGCAAACCTTTGTTCTTTGAGAGAAAATCATTCTTTGGCAACAGTGCTAAACTTTATTTGCTAGGCAAGTCTTATACCACCGAGCTACGTCTCTCTCCTGTATTACAGTTTAACTGGGCATTGCTTCAGGAGACCACCTCCCTTTGGATGCACTGGGACCCTTAATTTTGGTCAATTTTTTGAGTACTACTTCACACTAATCTCCTTCCCTGCCCTTTTTCCATTACCTGTCCCCAACCTGAACTCTGCAGCTAGCAATGTGCTTGTCTGAAAATCTCTGGGACTCTGCCAGGCAATGTTTTTCAGGGCAGTATTTGAGTTAGGGTCATCTCTTCAAGGTGCTTTCTGGTTCATTTTTGTGACATAGTTTTCTGCCTGTTCAAGTTCAATCACATGTCTGTACTTTCTAGCATCCTTCTTTACTTCTTCTTTGTCTCTGAGGCTCTGAGATAATTTCTCTTCTAAACCTTAGTGGTTCTATAGTAAGAATGATTGCCAGTGGCTTTGGAGTGCTTTCAAAGAATGTAAAGCACTGGAATTGAAAAAGGTCAGATATGACTATATGCCTATAACCAGTTTATTTGCAGGTGTCTTTTCTCCTCTGTTCCTTCCTCTCTTCCTCACAATCTGTTTCTCAGATACGGGGGTCAGTGGACTATTTCTGGCAGGATTAGACAGTGAGTACTCTTGACTCCATGGTGGGCAATGTGATCTCTATTGCAGTACTCAACTCTGTGGTTTATGCAAATGGGCATGGCTGGGTTCCAGGAGGATTTGATTCTGGACATTGAAATTTAACTTTTATGTATTTTTATATAAAAATGTCAAGGCAAGGCTGTTCATAGGAACAAATAGTGGAATGATCTGGCCTGTGACCTCTTATTCAGGTCACTGTCATACTCTTGATCTTGGATGACTTCACTGTATTGTGAGGGCATTCATATTTGTTATAGAGAAATAAAAGGGAAAAATCAAATTGTTAAAATTTTTAAGAGCTCCAAATCAGTAAAAAGTAACATTTAAAATTTTTATTTAATGTATTTTTGTTGTGTCTGTTCTATTTATTTATACTTTTACCTTATTGGGACTTATTGGAGCCTTATTTATTTTCAAGATCTTAAAATACATCCCACCTATGGATATAACATTCCAGAGTCAAATTTGCCTCTGTCCCAGTCAAATTAAATTAAAAATCATTCTTCTACAACTTGTCAGACAAAGATAACTGGCTTTAGCTTTGATTCCTTAGAAGTTTTGTGTCAAGAGTTATCTTTTTATGAGGAGTGTTTAACTGATTTATTAACCTTTCTCTAAAAAGTAAGATTAGTGCCAAGAAAGTCACTTCCAGAATAATAAAAATACAAGTATTATGTGTAATAAGGTATAGTACATATTTTTCTATTATAAAAATAACACATGCTTATTTAAAAACATTTTGTAGGACTGGGGATTTAGCTCAGCGGCATAAGTACCTGCCTGGCAAGTGCAAGGTCATGAGTTCAATCCCAGGTACCAAAATAAAATAAATAAATAAATAAATAAATAAAAAACATTTGGTAAACATACAAAAGAACAGTATCAGGATACCCTTTATCCTCCAGGATAATCTTTATTATGTTCATATGTATATTTTATCTAACTTTCTAAAGAAATCAAAACACACTTTTATGCTAAGAAACTTCTTAAAAATAGGCTCGAGATAGTCTGTAGGCAATTTTCTTGAATCTATGAGGCAACGCAGGTGTAAAGAGTTTTTGGCAGATGGCAGCAGAGAAAAGAACAAAGCAAAATCAGACTCCTCTTAGAATGTGGAGTGATAAATAATAAAACACGCAGAAACATAAATGCTGCCAAGGTTTCTGACTGTATTTCTCTGTCGAGTATGGCAGTAAAGGCCTCAGTGCCCACACATCCTCCGTGGTTCATCTCAAGGCCACGGCCACATCTTGAAATTACTTCTTGTTTCTGCTCACAGAGAAGAAACTATTTCTAATATTTTTTGAAATCTTTAACTGACATCTGCTAATGCCCAGGTGCTGCCTGGAGCTCACAAATAGGGCATTCTTCTGCACTTTTACAGAAATCCATTTGGATACTTTTTCCTAAAATTCATTTAGGCAGATGAGGAAATCAAGGCATTGGTGAAAATAAAAAACGCTGTTTTGATTGTGTGGGGGTTGGTTTGTTTGTGGTGCAGGGGATCAAACCCAGGGCAAGCCCTGGTGTGTGTGTGTGTGTGTGTGTGTGTTGAGGGGGGAAAATAGGTGAACTTTTGGTCCCCAAATCTACAGATATCTCACAGCTAGGCTGGCTTCACAGAAGGAGGATGTCTGGGACCCTATGCAGGCAGGCAGTAACTTTTGCCAGATGATTGAGTTACACGCAGAATATTTTTACCCTTTCCTTCCTCTTTTGGTCACATCTGTATGGAGTTTAGATAAGATCCAGAACTCTAAATACTACACATACTAAGTTTCTACTTCCACTCTGGATTTTCTCCAAATGACACAGTTTAAAAGCTTCAATTCTTCCATCTCTACGAGGGTGACATAGTTACAAAGAGTGGAGACATGAGACTTACACCTCAGACAATCAGGGATGGGAGACACATGACAGATCATCTAACCCAGCAGTTGGTGTCAACCGCAGGATGATAAAACACAGATGACCATCACGGGGTGTAACTCACTGGCAGACCCTGTTTAGCATTGTGAGGCTCTGGATTCAATCTGCAGCACACCACCACCATCACCACCAAAACAAAAAAACACAGATGGCTGCCTCTCCACCCACAGTTCTGAGTCCAGCCTGGAGTAAGGCTGAAAATGTGCATCTCTAGCCAGTCCCCAGGTACTGCTGCTGTAGCTATGGGATCAGACTCCCAAGAGCCCTGGTCTAGCTGTACCCATTTGTCTTCTGAGAGAACTGAGTTTCACAACAACCAAGAGTTTTACCAAGCCTATTAGCCAACTGGGTTCTGAGGACTGCATCAGTTCTGATGAAGATAAACTAATATGAAATGTCTTGCATATTTGTCTGATGATAGTTTACCTGATAGTGGTATGCTATAAGCTGGTCATTTATTCTTATGTTTTTTTTCAGTGACGCAAGGTTTCTTAAGTTTCCAAGCTAAACAGGAGTATTGCCTGAAACCAGAATGCATTGAAGCCGGTAAGTTCATTTTCCATCCTGTGTCAAGTTATAATTGTGGTACCTTGGCGAGTGGAAGAGAAAACAGGTGGTATTTTTAGTATTCTGTTTGCTTGAGGTTTACCAAGTACAAAATGCAATTTTGAAGAAATTTTAAGTCTACTTTCAAGTTTCAATGTGAAATAATGGAGTTTAGGTTTCCTGTATGGTTTTTTCATTGCAAAAAAAACAGCTGTGCGATATTCTAAGCCTCATGATAAGGAACTTGGGAAGAGGCTTGAAAGATTGGATGCCTCTCTTAAGAGCCACAGGCAGAGACTATTCAGCCTCCTATGGCTCAGTGGCCTATTTATCTTACACAGTCTTCATGTATCTTCTGGTTAGTTGGTCTGATCTGCTTGCCTGTAAGCAGAGATGCTTTGTAAATTTATGATTCCAAGGCCTCTCGGAATTCCTGTGCCCTCCTCCTCTTCGTCATCCTCATCCTCATCATTTTCTTTCTATTCTATTTTTAAAGTCCAACTTCTCTTGAGGTGACCAGGCCATGTATTAGTGGGTGCAACAAAGTGAAGTTTAACAATTGAAGTTGCCTCAGGTTTCTTACAGCTATTAGATCCTGCCCTCACCCATAAATCAGTGTTAGGAGCTATATTTGCAGAGCTGGATTCTACCATCCATTCTTATTCAACTGGTCAAGCATCTTGGCAAATTTTCCAAAAGGAAGATCGTAGGACAAGTTATACACATGGCCTTAAGAGAACAATGAGTGAATTTATCAAATATTTATGCATACTGGACACTATGTTAGATTTTGCGGATATATCAGTGTATCAAAGATAGGGGAAGGAAAAACAATCAAATGCCACATGAGCAATCAGTTCATAAGAAGAATTCAGCTAATGGTATGTGTTATGCAGCAAAATAAAATATTAAAACATAATAATGGGATAGCAAGTGACAGGGTGGCTAGATTGAAAAATGTGAAGACATGACCTTGAAAAGGACCCTGAATGATGAGAAGCAAACTGCTGTGCAAAGATTGAGGCAAAGGCTTTCCAGATTGTGTAAAGGTCCCATAGTGGAGCCAGCTTGAGGGATGGGTGGAGCTTGTTGGGTAAAGGACACAGTAAAGGTGATGGAAGGTGATAAAGGACAATGGGTGGCACACATGCTGGAAAGTTCAGTTTTTACTGTGTCCAAGAATCCCTGCAGGGATTTTTTAAAGAGTACATCTTATGAATACTTAAAAGCTCTTTCAGTGGAGGACTAGACTATGGGAATCTTTCTGTGTGGAGAAGGAACAAAGGGAGCGAGAGTGGAAGAGGGCTGCTCAGAGAGGAGGTTATTGCAGTAGAGCAGATAAGAGAGAGCAGATGCTGCCTTGAATTCAAAAGGTGGAGGATGCAGAAAGTTTAGGAGCTAGGGCATTGCTGAAGTTGCTGAAAGATTTAATATGGGCCATGAGAAAAAAAGCAGAGACTCAAAATTGATGCTTTGATGTTGGGTGGTACAATTATCGAGATGCAGAGACCTCGGTGAAAGAGCTTGTAAATTCTCAGGACTTAGACAGTGATAATGTGTTAGACTCTTAGGTTATATTTTCCACTCATAAGCGATCAATATATATTTTTAATGAGGCAATGTGTTGAGTGACTTACACATACTATCTCTTAAAACCTCCATAAGTCTGTATTCTCACCAGCCATACAGATAAGGGAATGTAGGCTACTATAGGCTAAATAACTTGTCCACGGTCACATTCTGAGTTAGCGGCAGAGCTGAGATTCAAGTCCATCATTGGCTCCTTACCATGCTTCTCTTGGTAATATAGTACCACGTTAAGCCCTTTGTTCTTTTTCCATAACACTAGACTAACTAGAATCCAGTGACTATTTCAACTGTGTGATATCTGGAATGATTGTTTTTTGTTCTGGAGTGATGTGAAAATTCCAAGGAATAGTCTTTTCCCTGGTTTGAGTAGTTGACCTGGAGCCTTTTCTAGTGAAGAGAGGATGTGATGGAGAAGGTGAGGAACCAGGAGGCACCATCAGAGACCAAGTTTTAAATTTCATGTCATCTAGTACCTTGGCTGTCTTAGGATTCTTGCAGATATAAGACACTGAAATTTTTGAACTCATAAATCTTCAGTTGTGTTTAGACAACTTTTTGTAAGGAAGGTTACTTATTTCATAAATTTTGTATGTTAGATATCATAACAATGCCATAATCACACTTGTAAGTCTGTAGACTGATGTTTGATGATGTCACTTTCTGCCAGCTAACATGTTTTGCCTTTATGCTTCATTTCTAATACTCACATTGGTGAATGGCTTTCTGATTTATATATATATATATACATATATTGATTGTACCGTTAATACATACCAACTGTGCTTTTCCCTTGCTTGCGCTGTTTCCATTAAGGCTCACCAAGGACCCAGTCCTCTTTAATGCAATATAAGCCTCTGTGTCCCAGGAGTCTGCGAAACAGCTGTTGAATACACATGGTGGGAGAATTGTGGCCAAACCAGGGCCTTACACAAAAGCTGAAGTGTATGTGTCTATGTGTGGGGTTCATAGGCACAGTTGAACTTTTGGAAAGTTCAGGAGATGTGTTGCTTTCCTCCAAGTCCTCTCATACTAATCTTGCTTTTGAAATGCAAGCTGTAGGAAGAATACAAAGAAACAAGGAAGTGGCACAGTGATGACAGTGGATAAGGGTAAATGGGCAAATGAGTTTGAAGCACCAATGGCCGCTTATATGCCATGTGATCCTGGGCTAAATACATAATCATCCTAAATTGCAGCTTCACTGTCTGAAAAAATGGGAATAACAGTTTTTAAAACTTATTAGTCATGAGGATAAAAGAAAATAATGATAGTAGTAACCCAAGTGCATAATGCCCAATACCAGAAAATATGGCAACTCCCGTTTGGCAAGACCAAATCTGATCTCAGTTAATTTGATAACAAAACCAAATCTTGTGTGAGGCTGTTTTAGACTTTATTGATCTCAGGATATGCATTTCTCTTCCCATAAAACTATGAATGTGCTTGCTGCAGGGGTCCACTCCAGACATTGTTGAGATAGTATAGCATCTGTGATTGTATACTGTTTGTTTTCTAAAATCTAAAGATCTGTAACTCTGAAAATCTAGCCTCAGGGTTTCAGATATGTTTATGGAATTGAAATAGCAAGTAGCAAGTTTTTAAGTTCCCAGATATAGCTAAATACATGCATATAGGATATTCAGTTAAGTTTGAATTATATACAGGGATGGCTACCTCTTTTGGTATAAATATGTTTCCTGAAATATTTCATACACACTTATTTAGAAAGTAGTTTACCTTAAATTCAAATTTCACTGTGCAGCCTGTATTTTACCTATATTTCTACAGCAATGCACCTGACATTGTTATAAGCACTTTACATAGATTTACTCATTTCATTTTCATGGCAATACTATATGGCATTATTATTATTATCCTCAATTTACAGATGAGGAAAACAGGACACATAGCAGTTAAGCAACCTGCTTAAAGTTATGTAGTTAGTGAATGCTGTTGCTCCCATTTCAAACCAAGTCATCTAGTTCTAAAGTTTGTTACCATGCTATACTGCATGAAGAGGTCTTTGCATAAAAGTTGCTTTCACAGAGATGCTTAGTGTTAAGTGATTTTATTTTTATGTAACTAATAAGGCTTAAGTCCTAATAAGGTTTTCCCTTGAGCCCTGATTAAGCCTAAAAACTCAGATTGGTATATGGAGAATGCCTCCAGCTACTCCACATATATGAGCTGAAGACTAGCTAGCAACTGCCCTCATGTGCAGTGGCTTGAGAAAGCCCACAGCCTGAGCTTTCACAGGTCTCCTTCGTGATCACATTTCTTTTATTAAAGTGAGACTTGCTTGGTTTTCTCCATGGAGTGGAGAAGGGGGAAAGGAGTTTTTGTACCTTGACAACTATGGTCCCTTGCAACTTGGAGTCAGAGTTCCCCTGCAGAAAGTGCAGCCCTGTGCCCAGCTGTGAATCATGAATGATGAATTGTGAGGCAAGGGAAAGAGTTTTCTCACTCAGTGGGCTCCTTTCCAAATTCCGTGTGAGTGATGCAGCCCCCACTTTCGTATTAGAGCTGAGAGGTCAGAGCTGACCTTGCAGTTTTGCTAGGTAGCTGCAAGAAAAGCAAGGAGATGGAGAGGGTGCATCTGAGGGGAGGGAGCAGGGGAAGTTTGGGAAGGAAGCCAGGAAGCAGCGAGTTTATGTGAGTAACAACGTGCATGAGGGCTCCCCTGTGTGACTGTAAATATTGTGTGAGACTGAGACTTATGTGATCCATGTCCCGAAGGTGTCACATAGCAGATTCATCCTGTGGCTGCACAGACTAACTATAAATATAAACTCCAAGGAAGATTTTGTGTGTCTTGGCAGGTCTGCATATTAAATAGTAATGATGAAATCATAGCAGTGAGCACAAATGTAATTAGAGATAACTGAATTAGTTATGAAAACCAAAAACATTGTCAGTTTGAAATTTATCAGACTTGTCAACCAAGTTTTTGATAGCTATTTATTTTGGGGCAGGGAGGTTGCAAATAGTTGAGATTCTGAAGTCTTCTAGAAATTCAAATGTTTGTGTATTAATCACCTCAATCAGGATAAAAAGCTCTTGGAAATTTTCATAGAAAATCTAGGCTAGAGAAGTAGCCTTGTTTTTGTGTCTGGAAGAGCCACTCATGGAACAAAACTATAAAACGTATTTCTAAATTTATGTAGATTTTATCTTTTGAAGGGCAATTAATTCTTATTTTGCTGAAAACTCATCAGGCTTTCATTACTTCACACAGCAATATATTCTGGCATTAATTAAAGTATGAAAATTGCCCAGAATGTTACCCTTCCAATGTTATTAGAATATCGGCTGCTTTCTTGTAATAAGTTGGTGTAGATCTTTGTGCCAGAGAGGTGGCCAGTAATTGTATGCAGTTGGAGTCCAATATTAGGGATTTTGGAACATTCTCATTTTGTAATGAAATGTTTTCTTGTAAAGCTCATGGATACAGATTTATGTACAGTTTTCTCATCTTCAGCCTATCTTCCTTATATATTTGCATATGGATTTGTGAAAGAAGGAAAACGGTAGATCAGTGTACTGTATCTTTTTCTTAATTTGTATACTCAGTTCTGCTGCTATACCTGAGACCCTCAATTAGAAAACCCTACTTTAGTCCTCCTCTGGCTATGCCTCTCCTACAGTCAAGGTGTCTGTGGGGCCAAGTCTGAAGCACTCTCTTGTATCCCAGAGTTCCTTGCCAAATGGTCCTAACTCACCAATCATGGCCTTTGTGAGTGCCTTTTAGGGCTCTGATCCTCTGAGAGCTGCACTAGATGTCCAGGGCCTCAGGAAGCCATACTGGCCTTCCAGGTTGTTATAAAGACACATTGTAAATAGATCTTTAAAATATGTAGACAGATGACATGTGGGCCTTTTTCTTGGCTACCCTTTGCTGTGAAACAAACCACCCCCTGGAGGTGAAACAGGAATGATGTACTATTTCTCCTGGTTCCATGGGTTTTATGGATGGCTCTCTAGGCTGTGTGCAGCTGCCTTCCTCTGGATGGTTACTTGGGCTGGAAGGTCTGTAATGGCCTCAGTCACATGTCTGGCAGTTAGTGTTGGCTTTGTTCTTTTCCATGTGGCCTCTTGTTCTCCAAGAGGCTTCTTCAAAGGGTGGTTTTGGGGTTCCATTCGAAGGGAGTTAACTTGGAAGGTACAAGGACCTAGCTTTGGAACTCACAAATAATCAGTTCTGCTAATTTTGTTGGTCAAAGCAAGTGACAAAGGCCAGGCCATGTTTGAGGTAGAAGAAATGGACCCTAGTAGAAAAGTCACTTTGCAGAAAGGCATGTGGGATAAAAGAGTCACATGTATCTTTGCAAAAATATCTCCCATATTACTTCATTTGTATTCTTGTCTCATAACACACAAATGTTAGGAATCTTGAAAAACCAATAACAGCAGCACCACCAAACTTCTACCCACTCATGCTGAACACACTTATTTCATACAGCAAAGTTGATTCAAAGAGTTATTTGAGGGGAAATGTAGAAGCCAAGCTTTGGGAACTGGTTGATATGAAATGGTTGTTTAATTTGGAAAAGAACAGGAAAAATGTTCAGTGCTTGTCATTAATCCTGTGATTTTCTTTTTAAATAGCTGCTGCCATATTGAGTAAAGTAAATCTGTCTGTGGATCCTTGTGATAATTTCTTCCGGTTCGCTTGTGATGGCTGGATAAACAGTAATCCAATTCCTGAAGATATGCCAAGCTACGGGGTTTATCCTTGGCTGAGACACAATGTTGACCTCAAGTTGAAGGGTAAGTTTCTACAGGAGGTTGGTGACACACTTCATAGACACTAGTATTTGACATGAAAAATATAGTTTGGGATTTAATGTGCGACTACTCAATTTTTCACTATCCTAAATCCAAGAATTGTTTGGAAACGGAAGATTGAAAGGGTAGAATTCCATTCTCCCAGATCTCAACCAAAGTGGGTTATGTTCATGTTTGATTACACAATAGTTAAGTTCTACTGTCAAAGGTTAAATAGCATTTGATTGAGATTGGGAGCAAAGGAACAGTTAATGAAAATTATGTTACATCATCAGATTTGTCTGTTGTTTTCAGGGGTCAGCTTCATACCTTGCTTATTGTGTCCTGGATTTTCACGGCTTAAAAAAATGTCCTTAACACCTCATTGTCTTTTGACATCACTTTGGAGAACTCTGGATGACCTGTGGTTGTCATGTTGTTCCCGTTAGCTTCTAAGCTGGCTCTAGGGAGACTCACTTTTCTCCCATGGCCTCCTCTAGCAGTGACAAGCTCACACTCACATACTCACATGTGCGTGCTTACTTATATGCTCACATGTGCTTGTGGTCTTTCCCAAAGAAGTTGGAAACACCTATTACTGGAACATATCATGTTTGCACTGGATTTCTTTTTAATGCTAAGCTGTTGGAGAAAGCCATCTGAGGAGGGAAGTAGGAAGATTTGAAAGCCAGGTAAGGTCACTGTTTTGAGGGTGAAAATAGCATGGCTTTCCCCCCTCTTTTTGACAACAGTGAATTATGGTGTGTAACTTGCATTCAGTAACACCTACAAGAATTTCTGAGAAGTTACAGAATTTCTGAGAGTTACAAAATTTCTTTCTTTCGCCTCTCCATTTTTCCAAGATTTAAAGTGCATGAAAGTTAAATATGTATCCATACAGTACTTAATAACACGTGAAGCCATTTGCAAAATAGATACCCATCATCAATTGTAAGGGAAAATATAATTAAATTTCACAACTGGGAATGATTTACATGGCATATATTTTTCTATTAGAAGGCTCAGAGTTAGTCTTGATAACTTATAAATGAGGATCTATGAGAATTTAAAGGTATTGCTCTCACTTAACAGAGATTCCTATGCTATAGAACCATAATAAGGCCTTGAACAGTGAATTTATAGACTAATATTTATTTCCCTCTAGGACATTGATTCATGTTGGTCCTTCATTTACCATTCTTGTCCATCTTATATTTTTCTTCTCTGGCTCTTCTTCCTTGATAGACAATTGTTCACACAGAACCATGTGAACAAGAATAGCACGTCACTGAAAGATAGGAAAAATACAAGATTTCCAGATAAATGCTCCCTTTCACAATAGCTATAACAGAAGGATTTTTAATATTAGGACATGAAGTGATTACAATAATTTAAAGAACTTTCTGGGGATAACTTAATTTAAAAATTAATTGTTGACATGCTTTGTTTGAGGAGGATACTGTATCTGGGCTCTGAAATTCATAGAAATGAGAGTAAATTGTTCAGAGCAGTAAAGGGTTTCTTTTGTTTGTGTTCTGGCTTTATTTTAAAAATGAAAAAAGTTATTTTCAAGCTCAGTTGAGAAAATAAAAAAGAGCAAAATGTAGAAGGAAAAGTCCCCATAAATACACATTTGGCTGGGGGTGGTGGCACATGCCTGTACTATATAATGAGACCTTGTCTCAAAAAAACCAAAAAAAGAGAGAAAAATCCACATTTGGAAATAGCATCATCTTTCCAGGTTTTATTCCATGTGTGAGTTCATGTGCAAAAACTCATATGCTCACCCATATACAAGACTTGATAAAAACATGCTGAATATTTAAATTTTAAAAATTATTACCATAAAAGACATTACCTGTTCTGCTTTATATTAAGATATCCTCCTAAAGCTGCATGCGATCTTGGATGAGGATTCTAGAAGGAGTTGGGGTCTGGTATACAGAAGTGCAGTGCTGGGGACATGGCCTGGAGGGATTTATCTCCCTCCCAGTCTCCTACTTTATCTCTCTTCTTCCTATGTGAGATGTCATGAGCAACAATCCACCATGCCACCCTGCCTTGGAGTCAGCGGACTGTGGATTGAAACCTCTACACACTGTGAACCAAAATAAATGTCTCCTCCTCTAATTTGTGAGTGTCAGGTATTGTGTCCCAGCAACTAGGAAAGTAACTATGACACTGCTATTAATTTAGTCAAAGTACTCCCCTTCTTTTTAGACACACTTACCCATCTTTCTTGCCACATCTTGAAGCAGTTCTGGAAGGCTGCTGCTATTTTTTTCAGATAAGGTTTTGCTATGTAACTCAGGCTGGCATCAAACTCATAGCCATCCTTGTGCCTCAGCCTCCCAAGTGCTGGGACTATCGGTGTGCACCACTGTGCCTGGGTTGGAAGGTTTCTTTTATGAGTAACTTTAGTTGTACTCTGGTGGGTGCTTCTATGTCCTGAATTGATTCAAAACATTTCCCTTTAATGGTCATTCTGACACTGGGAAAGAGCCAAGAGTTTTATGGTGCTGGATCTGGTGAATAAGGTGGGTGAGGACACATTTTGATGTTTCTAGGAGCCCCCTTTTCCATTGGATGTTGTGTGGTAACACCATTCATCAGAGGGCTTTTTATTTTGAGACAGGAGCTCACTATGAAGTTCAGTCTAGTCTTGAACTCACTTTGTAGCCCAAGCTGGTCTCAAACTTGCAATTATCCTCTTATTTCAGCCTCCCAGGTGCTGGAATTACAGGCGTGCACCACCATGCCTGGCACACCAGAGTTTTGAGTGCGTTTTATAAACATACTCACTAAAGACTTCCAGAGCTGCTTCAGGAAGTGGGAAGAACAACAGAATAAGTGTGTTTGAAGCAAGAGGGAGTATTTTGAGGGGATTAATGGCAATGTGTTTTTTGCTGTAGCATTTAAGAAAATTAAACATTCACCATTTTGATTTTGTCTGATAGCCATTGTTTCCTGTTTCTTGTTTCTAGTTTACAAATTGTATGCAACAAAAACTTTTCTTCACCATTTATCAGAGATTCAGATGGAATATTTCTTAACTTCTTTAGATTTCCCTTTGTGAACTAAGCTTCAAATTTTGAAGCAAATCCTACCCAACAATGGTTTATTTTAAGACACTGCTGGAATTAAATAAGCTAGTATTTTGTTTCAGATGTTTATGTCTATGTTTATGATTCTCATTGGTTTATGACTTTTTGTGTGCCAGGTTGTCAGATTCTCTTATCAAGACTCGCATGTTTCCTGTATATTTCTGTTCTCTGAGACAGACACAACTCAAGAAATCTCAAGTTGTTTTGTGACAAGCACTGTAAAGGACAGATTCACAAAGTAATCCTAAGGCTCTTGCTTTAAGTGTTATGGAGAGCAGTGACACAAACCTGAAGTTTTAGTGTTCTAAGAAGCTGGGGCAGGAGAACTGCAAGTTCAAACTCAGCCTGGGCAACTTAGTGAATCAGTGACACCTAGACTCAAAATAATAAAGATAAAAGGGCTAGAGTATAGTTCAGTGTAGTGGCCCTAGTTTTTTTTTTTTTTTAAAGATTGAAAGATTAAAAGAGGACATAACAACACAGGCCAGAACAGAACAATTTAAGCAACATAGTGTTTCACCACAAGACAATATGACATAACAGTAGCTACCATAGTGTCCCTTCCCTTGAAATATTTGAGTATACCTTCATACATTATAGTATCAAACATAACAAGACAATGTAAAACCATTCAAGAGAATGAAAGTACTACTGGGTATTCAGAACCAACTAACAGAAAATGGAACAAAGGTTACTATATTATCTCCTTGTCTATAAAAAATTGTTTATACTATCACATATAATAAAATCCAATAAGATACAACATGATAAAACCGATGGAGACAGAAGAACAAAAGCTTGGTAGGACTTCAAAACAAGATGATATTAAATCGTTACTAGTTATTATAATGTCTTGTTTTCTTCAAAATAGCTGTTCATACCCTCACAGACAATAAAATCAAACAACACAGAATAAAACCATCGCAATTAATGAATGAAAACATTATAAGGCTTCAAAGCAATATTACAGGGAATCATGATTACCACATACTTTTATGTATCCTTAGCATTTCTTACACTAGGGAAACTATTCGGTATTTATACATGTGAGTTTGATTTATTTCACTTATGAGTATGGTCTCAAGCTGCACCCATTTATTTATAAATATCTCAATGTGACCATTCTTTATAGCTGAGTCATATTCCATTGTATAAAAATACCACAACTTTTTTTATCCATTCCTCAGTTGATGGACACTTAGGTTGTTTCCAAGATCTGGCTATTACAAATTGTGCTGCTATAAACATAGGTTCACATATATCACTGTGGTATGATGCTTTCAGTTCTTCTGGGAATATGCCTAGAAGTGGAATAGCTGAAACAAATGGGACTTCCAATCCCAGCTTTCTGAGAAATCTCGAGACTTACCTCCACAATGGTTGCACCAGTCTACACTTCCACCAGCAGTGAGGGGAGTTCCTTTTTCCCCACAGCCTCTCCAGCATATGTTGTTGGTGGTTTTCTTGATCTTGGCCATTCTTTCTGGAGTGAGATGGAATCTCAGGGTGGTTTTAATTTGCCATTCTATAATGAGTAATGATGATGAACATTTTTTCATGTATTTATTTAGTCACCCTAGTTTTAATCCTAAGTACTGGGGGAGGAGGGACAGAAAGTAGGGTCTTTTTTTGATTGGTATCATCTTGTACCAGACATACGTATTTGAAATCTAAAATATGTATTTGTTCTTGAAACATTTTGTTTTGAGATAATTTAAACTTAGCATAAGTGAACATATAGCACAAGGAACCCCCATATATTCTTTTTTACATAGTTTCCCTGATTGATACCATTTTACTGGGTTGCTTTATCATTTCCATGCTCTATCTATATATGTATGGATGTCTCCTTCTTTATATATCTTTACATTTGTTTATAGATGGTACAATAGAAAATAA